AAGCACAAAATTAATACCGGAGACGCTCAGCCAATCAGACAACAACCTAGACGACTTCCATTTGCGAAAAGAGATGAAGCCGAAGACATCATCAAAGATATGAGCAAACAAGGGGTAATTGAACCATCAAACAGTCCATGGACATCACCAGTAGTACTAGTAAAGAAGAAAGATGGTTCAACACGTTTTTGTATTGACTACCGACAGCTCAATGCGGTAACAAAAAAAGATAGTTATCCTTTGCCCAGAATAGACGATACTTTGGATACACTTTCTGGTTCTCGTTGGTTCTCCACACTCGATCTGAAAAGTGGATATTGGCAAGTAGACATGGAGCCAGCTGATCGTGAGAAAACCGCATTCTCGATAGGATCAGGGCTTTGGCAGTTCACAGTTATGCCCTTTGGTTTATGTAATGCCCCAGCCACATTTGAAAGATTAATGGAGGCAGTTTTAAGAGGTCTAACATGGAAAACATGCCTGGTTTATTTGGATGATGTAATTGTAGTAGGAAGATCCTTCGATGAACATGCCAATAATTTGACAGAAGTCTTTCAACGATTGCGGGCAGCAAATTTGAAGTTAAGTCCGAAGAAATGTCACTTGTTTCGACGAGAAGTAAAGTACTTGGGACATATTGTAGCAAGTAATGGTGTAACAGCTGATCCTGAAAAACTTGCAGCAATTAAGGATTGGCCGGTACCAAGAGACAAACACGAAATTAGAAGTTTTCTTGGCCTTTGTACATATTACCGACGTTTTGTCAAAGGATTTGCCAACATCTCCAAGCCATTAACAAAGTTGACAGAAGAAGGCAAAGAATATACATGGAGCGAAGAGTGCCAAAGAGCTTTCGAACACTTACAAATGGCTCTGATCAGCGCACCGATTTTAAGCTACCCTAGGCAGGCAGGAAAATTTGTGTTGGACACCGATGCAAGCAACAGTGCAATAGGAGCTGTTCTATCCCAAATCCAAGATGGGCAGGAGAAAGTCATCGCTTACTTTAGCAAAGTATTGTCGAAACCAGAAAGAAACTATTGCGTTACCAGAAGAGAATTACTAGGCGTAGTAAAGGCTTGCGAGCATTTTCATAAATACTTGTATGGCAGAAAGTTTCTTCTTCGCACGGATCATGCTGCTCTAAAATGGCTCCTACAATTCCGTAATCCAGAGGGCCAGATGGCAAGATGGTTAGAACGATTACAAGAATATGATTACGAGATCGAACACAGGGCTTGAAGAGTTCATTTAAATGCTGATGCGCTTTCGAGAAGGCCGTGCAGTGAACATTGTAATCACTGTCTTAAATTAGAAGAAAGACTTTGTCCCGTGAGACGAACCACCGTCATTAATGATCAATGGCAGCCTCAACAGCTACAAGACGCTCAAGCAGATGATCCATGTATAAAAAGAGTATTGGATTGGATGCGTCGAAGTGAAAGGCCCTCTTGGCAAGACATCAGTGCATGTAGTCCTGAAGTCAAGTGTTACTGGAGCCAATGGAATTGCCTAGTGTTAAAAGATGATCTTCTTTATAGAACCTTTGAGAACGATGATGGTACGGAATCTAAGCTTCAGTTGATTGTACCTAAAAGTAAAGTGTCAGAAGTATTGCGTCAGTTACATGACGGTGCATCAGGTGGACACTTTGGTATTACGAAGACTCTGCAAAAGGTTCGAGAACGGTTCTATTGGGTGAACTGTAAAGATGATGTTAGAAGATGGTGCCGGAAATGTGAACTGTGTGCAACCAGTAATGGTCCAGTTGGTAAAAAGAGGGCACCCATGAAACAGTACAATGTTGGTAGTCCTATGGAAAGAGTAGCAATCGACATTGCAGGTCCACTTCCAGAGACAAACGATGGAAATAAATATATCCTGGTAGCCATGGATTATTTTACAAAATGGACTGAGGCCTATGCGATACCAAATCAGGAAGCTGCTACCGTTGCAGAGGTACTTGTTAAAGAATTCTTTAGCCGATTTGGTGTTCCCTTGGAGATCCACTCCGACCAAGGGCGAAACTTCGAGTCGACCCTTTTCCAAAACGTTTGTAAATTGATTGGTGTCAATAAGACCAGAACGACACCCCTGCATCCTCAATCAGATGGAATGGTCGAGAGAATGAACCGAACGATGGGTAAACACCTGTCAAAAGTTGTATCAGAACATCAAAGAGATTGGGACCAGCACATTCATTTATTCCTAATGGCCTACCGCTCGGCCGTGAATGAAACTACCGGCCAGACTCCAACCTGCCTGATGTTAGGTCGTGAAGTTCGTTTGCCCTGCGATCTAGAGTTTGGCTCCAGACCTTCCGAAGAACATGTTGCAAGCGAAGATTATTTCGACCGCCTGAAGTTAAGAATGAACAACATTCATGAACTTGCCCGACAACACATCCAGTTAGCCAGTGACAGAATGAAAGATCAATATGATTCTCGATGCAAAAATGAAAGCTATAAAGTAGGTGATCTTGTTTGGCTTTATAATCCACAACGTCGTCGTGGCTTGTCTCCTAAACTGCAAAGACAATGGGAGGGTCCGTATGAAATTAAAAAGAGAATAAATGACGTAATATACCGAATTAAAAAGTTACCGAAAGGTAAACCAAAAGTAGTTCACATAAATCGGCTTGCACCTTATGCTGGCTCAAATGAAACAGAAGAAGCACGAATCCTTCAACATGAGATCGAAGAAGACCGGCGACCAAGCTTTAATGAATTTATGTCAAATTACGCAGAGAGAAAGAGTGCTAGATTCGGCGTGACGACAGAAGTTCAGCAGGATCTTTTTAGTGTTCCGCATAACGGCACTCTAGCCCACTGTGTTGCCCAAGATCTTGAGATGACTAAAGGAATCTCATCCGTATTTCATAAGAAATTTGGTCGCTTGGACGAGTTAAAAAACCAGCAGCCTAAAGTTGGAAGAGTGCTGAGATTAGAAGATGGTTCTCGATCTTTGTTGTATATGGTGACCAGAAAGTCGTATACAGACAGGGCAAGCTACGAGGATATATGGCGTGCTCTGACTAATTTGAAGAAAATCGTCTGCAATTACGACATTAAGAACTTGGCTTTACCCAAGATAGGCCATGCACTAGATAATCTGGATTGGAAGATTGTCAGAAGCATGCTTGAAGTGATCTTCCGAGAAACCGGTGTAAGAATTACTGTGTGTTGCATTAATCCGAAGAGATCGTGTCCTTCAAAGACAGTAGACTGTTATTTCTTTCTGAGGGGTTCATGCAGAGCTGGAGAGTCCTGTAGATTCCGCCATCCTGGGCCTATAGATAGAGTTCCTGATCGGGACGCTCAGATCTAAGAGGGGAGCAGTGTTACGAACATGCATTTAGCGTGGATTACCTAACGGTCGCATCTCGAAGCACCGAGAGTTTCGGCGATATTTCGAGCGCTGTAAATTTCCACCCGTCAAATAACGAATTAGAGGTGGGACTATTCTCGAATATTCTCGAACATAATATTTTGGTATATATATGTAACGAAATTAGGATTTAGGTTTAGTTGATAAGAGAATTCCGAACTGTAAAGTTATAAATAAATATATTTATATAAATTCGAACCGCTCGTTTTATTTAAAAACGGTACAATATTATTCTATTGGTATGTGGGATGTTAACTGAAGTACAAATTTGCTTGTGAATAAAACCTTTAAAATTATGATATTTTTCTGGTTTAAAACAGATCACAAATATCAATGCCTTATAGTTAGTGTTCTTAGTAAAGTCCATTAGAAACTGCTGAACGGCAGTTCGATTGTAAAATATTTATTTAATTACCTTGGTCTGAAATATTTACATATATAGATGATTCAACTAAGTTTAAAGCTCGGCTTTACATTTATACTGTTTGTAACTAAAACTATTATGACAATATCCCTAATAATTGAATTTATTGTGCTCAAGCATGAGGGGTGGAAAAAATCAGATCTGGCTATAAAACATTAGTTCGTTTTGATCATAGCAAAAATTTCACCGTGTATAGGGTTTTGAAAACTCTAATAGGAATTTTATGAATTAGACAAATAGAAATATGGCATTTAAATGCCATATTTATTTTTTTCCTCACAATTAGCAAATTTTTAATAAAAAAAAATTAAATTTGACAATTTAAAGGTTTAGAAATGTGAACCATTGATGTTAAAAATTTATCTTTTATATTAATTTTTTTTTTTTAAAAAACATTTGATTTAACATTTAACAAATAACCTAATTCAAACTGGAAGAAAGTCACATCCGGTTTTAAAAAATTAGTTCGTTTTGTTCATAGAAATAATTTTAACCTGTATAATTAGATAATTTTGTAGCCTAAGATTCGACAGAAGGATCACTACATTCATAATACAGTTAATCAAACTCACATTTTTACATAAATTTAAAATTAGGAATACTTAGGTTTTCAATACAAAAAGATCCAAAGATTTGAACAAGGTTTGTTTGCTTACATGATATTGCACATATATCTGAACAAAAAGGTGACTTTTTGTTAAGCTAGCGGATTAATTTTGGGAAACCAACACTGAGCACTGCCATTGGAAAAATATTCTTAAATCGGAAAGATCCTGTTTTAAATATAATATATATAATCCTGTTATAAGTAGCAAATTTCAGCTTAAATTTAAGGTCGCTTGACATCTAGACACCTGGTCAATTGAAAACCACATACTGCTAATATGCTCAGTATTATCAAGTATTAAGTATATTCTTTATTAAAAACTTTTTAGTGGTATCTACCTATTTTTACATAAACCTTTGTGGTTGAATATAATTAATGATTTCCTTAATAAACTGAAGCATATATGCATACAAAAAAAATGTTAACTAGTCCGCACACTCCCAAAATCTTTAGCATTATAATTTTAAATCGATTTTGCTACCATTTTGTCAAATGTTGGTTACTGAGTCTAGGCTAGCACAACAGTACATTGGGTTAATAGTGAACACATAATTATTTCGTTATTGTAATAATTAATATTATTTATTTACCTTCTTCATTTGTGGTTTGTTTTTCTTCAAACAGTGTAAATTTATGTTCATCTTGTTCTACTTTTGTATTTACAGAGAAAATATTTGAGTCTAAATGATCAAACGTATCGTATGCACTTTCTGTCTTAGGTTCTTCCTTAATTTCAATTTTGAAGGCATCCAAAGAATCGTCACACGCCCCATTCTCTTTTTTTATTTTACAAGTTTTCTCGCCAGCTTCTTGTTTTATTTCCATGTTAAATTTTATTTAATTTGCAAATTTCAGTTTTATGTTTAATCACAAAAAATCATTTCATACCATACTTGAGAACTATCTTTCACCGTGAGTTTTTAGACCATCCTTCAGTGTCTTCACCACAGATTATAAGACAAGAGTCTTCACCATTCGCCTATACATAAAATATCTCTGCTTGTCCATCATGACTTCGGATTCAGATCACAGCCACAGCATAGACACAAGTGTTCAGATCGTTACACCACCACAGAATAATAAAACAATTGCAATAACAATATGTACTTAAATTCAACGTTTTACTATTTTCAATTAACTTTTAATTTTTTATCTAGATTAGGTACATGACCAATGACGTATATATTATACGTCATTGTACATGACACATGACATGTAACAACTTACTCAAGAAGGGTAACCAGTGTTGCCAACTTGAGTTTGCGTTGACAATTGGTTGACACCTGCTTTGCGCATGTGCTGTTTCCTAACTAGATGGCGGTTTCAAATAAAGTTGTTGCCATAGTTATACAAAATAGGTTTTCTAATGAAAAATAAAAATTTTGATTTATAATTAATTTTAAAATAATTATATTTTATTCTTACCTACTTTTAATAAAAAAAATACTGCTTTTACCAGACTTAGGTTAGATTTAGTTACGTTAGATTAAGTTTATTACCATTTGTTTACATTTTTAAAATTACCCAAAATGTAAAGAAAATATGAAATTTTTCAAATAATAAAAATTGTGATTTCTTGTTTATTTTAAGTTAGGTTTCATATACCTAACATTTTATTCTTACCTACTTTTAACAGAAAAGTAGTGCTTTTTTACCAGCATCAAGTTAGATTTTGTTACATTAGATTAGGTTTATTAGGTACCATTCATTTGCATTTTTAGTAATAAAATGTAATTAAAAATATAAAATTTTTAAATAATATAAACTGTGATGAGCTTCCCCGTCTATTTTAAGTTACATTCAGTTAAATCGTTTTACATTTTTTAGTAATAAAATATTAATAAGGGAAACATGAAGTTTTAAGTTAATGAAGTTAAAAAAATAATGTTTCGTTAACGAAACTTTTGAATAATATATGCAGTAAATTGAAAGTTATACGTTTTATAGTGTGTAAATAAAATTTCTGGGCTTTATCGATTAAAAACTAAAGATATTGCTACAATAGTTATACTCGGTTCGCTAATGGCAGTCCGAACTGTCTAGTGATTTTAGTAATTATGTGTTTACGAAGTTAGTTACTTTTTGACAGACCAGAAGTGGCTGGAAATTATTATACAACCAAGTACACGTGCTCATAGAGCATTTCATTATTTGTATTAGCATTAGCATTAGCATTAGCATAGCATTAGCATATGTAATATTATCTGCTAATAATATTTATATGGAATATGTATATAGGATTTACAAAAGACTAATAACAAATTTTACATACCCTCTGGACATCTTGATTCACAGTAAAAATACTGCAAAATTGTAAAAAAAGCTACTAACGAGTAGACTCACTATTATTATATCACTTTAACTCACTATTATTATACAAAAAAAACCACTACACAGTTTGAAATAATAACTAAGACTGAAAAATGTTGTATTATTAGTGGACTATCCAATATGGATAATAAATTCACAGATCGCGCCAAAGTTTCATAAACGAAACATTATCTTTAAGTCGTTATAAAATTGTATGAGTAGTCAAATTTCAAATTATGTTTGGATAATATTATTCTACAATCTTTAAATGAACAAGGAATGCTGGTTTGGTCCAATTTTAAATATCTTGTGATCTATTATGCGAGCTCAAACGACACCGACAGATATTAGTAAAATTTGAAGTGTTTTGATTATTATTTCAAAAATTATACAACACATAATATGGATCATTAAGATAACAAACACTTTAATAAACTATATATATATATATATATATATATATATATATATATATATATATATATATAAAAGACTAATACATAAACCAGAGAACTTGCGTTCGTAGTTCTCTGCATAAACTATAATATTCATCATATGAAATAATGGGTAATAAACATTACAATTCTTGGAATCAATGTAGTATGCTCTGTGAACGTATATTTGTGTAATGCGCAATATCAAAACAAACATACCCGACATAATGAAATTTCCCTACGACTGTTTGAGATATTCATGGAAATAGCATTATCAAACCATTTCTTCTTCGTTCGTCACCAAAGAAAGCTGTAAAGGAGTGCGGTGGGTGTATACTAAGATTTAATTACGAGTTGCGAATTAACGTCGAAAGTAAGTTTAAATGTAATAAACTTGTCCAAGATTGTTACATTTTAGTACAAGTAAATCCAAAACTTTTTGGGGGTACTCTCGACAAAGAAAGGGGCCTGTTTGGAAGCGAGTTAATCCAGGATTTCACCTAGACGAAAAACATACATGGACAACGCACATTAAAACTAAACGTAAACAACTAGATCTAACTAAAAAATATGAACTGGCTATTTAACAAAAGGTCTGTTATCTCTTGAAAATAAACTGCTTCTGTACAAAGCTATACTCATACCAGTTTGGGCATATTGAATAGAACTATGGGGCTAAAGTAAACCTTCAAATACGAAGATACTTCAAACATTCCAATCCAAAATACTCCGTTTGATAAGTAAAGCTCCATGGTATGTATCTAACCAAACACTTCACAATAATCTGGACATCTCATTACTTAAGGACATAATAAAGAATCACTCAATAAAATATAAAAATCGCACTAATGATCACAACAACGAAATGATAAATAATTTATTCACCCATACACTTGCCGAAAGAAGATTGAAGAGGGTATGGCCAGAAGACCTACCGCAATAACACTTAGAGAACCGTCACTGGACAGTACCTAACTCACTTTAATTTATTTACAGACTATTTACTTATTACTCTGTGTATCGAGTGGATTGTAAACATGCAATGTAACAATAAAACAAATTTTACAGTGCGAATCGACACGGACTCTTCTATCCCTGCTTTTTCTTCCTTTACGCTGCAAATAACGTGTAGTAAAATTCTCACTGGTATGGAAACTTTAAAACTATTGGTACGTAGTTTATCCAGAATCAGCTTAGCACTTGCTTATCTGTGAAGAGTTGCGTTGTATAGTTATTATTGCTCAATTAATTTATAAAGACTTTATTTATTTGAATAAATTAAAATATGGGACGTTGTTATAGGAAATGTGTAAAACAGAAGAGGTTAGCTCAATTGAAGTAAGTTTACACAAATTAAATTCATTACTTTTGTATTTTTCAAATTAATTTTAAATTTATAGTGAAAATATAATCTATAAAATCGATCGGCAAACCAAGAATTTTGGCATTTATTGTTATTTTCGTTTAAAGGAATAAATTATTTCATGAGTTTTTGTGGATTGTATGTTTGTGGTCTATATGTTAATACTTCTTGTAGTTCCTTCTCCTATCGGAGGTTGGCTATCATCACAACTACCCGTATCCTATTGGCGGCTGCTCTGAAAAGATCTACTGAGCTGCAACTATACCACGCTCTTAGATTTCTTAGCCAGGAAATTCTTCGTCTTCCTATGGATCTTTTACCCTTGATTTTACCTTACATTATGAGCCCTAATATCTCATATTTCGCACCTCTGGTAATGTGGCCTAAATATTCCAGCTTTCCTGTTTTGATGTGTTTTATGACATCGCAATCCTTTTGTAGCCTTCTTTAAACTTCTGCATTTATAACTCGTTGGGTTCATGGTATTTTCAAAATCCTTCTATAGCACCACATCTCAAATGATTCCAACTTCTTTGTATTACCCACTTTTAGTGTCCAGCTTTCGATTCCATACAAGATCAAGAACACGTAGCATCTTAAGGCTCTTATCCTCAGCTCCAGAGGAAGGTCTCAATTAACAAACATTGTTTTCATTTTTATAAAGGCTTGTCTTGCAATTTCAATGCGTGTCCTTATTTCTCTACCTTGGTCATTGTTTTCATTTACCCAGGTTCCCAGACATTTGTAGTTATTCACTCTTTCTACTTGTTTTATCTCGATATCTAATCTTCCTACTGTATGTTGCTTAGCATTTGGTTTTCTTAACGTTCATTTGTTCTTTTATTTTTTATGCATATTAAAGCTGTCGTATTTTCTTTCATACTCTTCTATTTCTATGCATTGATCTGTTAACCACTTTTCCTTAGCCTTTTTTATCTCTACTTTAATTCTACTTTGTAGTTCTTGATATTTTGGCTCATTTCTCCTCTCTTCCATTAATACTGGAATTTCTGAAGTCGTCCACTTTTGATTTTTATTTGTCTTTTCAGTCTTTAAATTTTCTTCTGCAGCCATTAGTAATGCCTTCTGAATATTGCTCCACTTTTCATTGACATCTTCCGATGTCAAGATTTCTTCTCCTAGTTCTGTCATATTCGAGTTGACTTAACTAACCTCGAGTTTTAACCTTGTTTAGGCTTACGCCTCTTCAAGGAACGGGGAACTCCTTTTTTTTGACGGAGTTTTGGGGGTTACGAGAAAAACGTCAACGAAGCAGAGAACTGCTAAGGAAGAAGGGGAAAAGAAGGTGGCTTATTTTGTGATCGATAAGAATCGTGAACGCACAAGAAGAAGTGGGTTTGCCTAGCATGCAGTGAGGTACTTCAGGGTTACCAGCCATACAGTAGGAACGGCTCTTTATCAGCGTTTTTGGTGCGCAGTTTATCTGCGATAATAGATGGGGAAAGATTCTAAAATATTAAAATACTCCTCAGGAAGTTCAGGTCCAGCGTTATGTAGAAGTTTAGCTGGAGGGAATGGAACTTTTTTGGCGGGATGCCTGGTGAGTATTTGCCCTCTATGTGAACAAGGTGTCTTCAATGTTTGTTTTGCTCGGTTGTTCGAGTCAGCTATGGCTCTTAAGACATACTTCCTACTGAGGGTTAGGATTCTGTCCTTGATAGGCGTGATGTTGGTTATTGCATATATGTGGGCCGATG